CAAAACTGCTTGCAGATATGCTGCTCTTTAGTATTCTGTAAAGCAATTCAGCAGAAAGAGACCTAATGCTTATTTTGATTTGCCACCAAGATCAATAAGAGCAAAAATGTTTCTAAGGAAATCTCCTCAGCAATAAGATCTTATACTAGATGACCACAATGACAAAGTGAACTGCATTTAGACTGACTCTAGCTCTTACTCCTTTAAATGCACTTTTATTTTCAGATTCAACATTTGTCCTGTTACACACCAAATAGTGCCTGCAGTGATTTATTCTTATGAAACATCCACAGAACTCATAGAATCACAGAATGGTTTGGGTTGGAAGAGACCGCAAAGCCCATTCAATTCCACCCCCCCTGCCATGGGCAGGGACACCCTCCACTAGACCAGGTTGCCCAAAGCCCCATCCAACCTGGCCTTGAACACTTCCAGGGATGGGGCACCCGCAACCTCTCTGGACAACCTATTCCAGTGCCTCACCACCCTCATAGAGAAGTTATTACTAATCCAAACATATCCTGCCTCGTTTTAAAGCCATTACCCCTTGTCCTATCACTACATGCCCTTGTAAACAGTCCCTCTCCAGCTTTCCTGTAGGCCCCTTCAGGTACTGGAAGGCTGCTATAAGGTCTCCCTGGAGCCTTCTTTTCTCCAGGCTGAACAACCCCAACTCTCCCAGTCTGTCTTCATAGGAAAGGTGCTCCAGTCTCTGATCATCTTCATGGCCCTCCTCTGGACTCGCTCCAACAGCTCCATGTCCTCCTTATGTTGGGGGCCCCAAAGCCAGACACAGTACTCTAGGTGGGGTCTCATGAGAGCGGAGTAGAGGGGGAGAACCACCTGCTGGTCGCACTTCTTTTGTTGTAGACCAGGATACATTTGGCTTTGTGGGCTGCAAGTACACATTGCCCGGTCATGTTGAGCTTCTTATCAATCAACACTTCCAAGTCTTTCTCCTCAGGGCTGCTTTCAATCCATTCTCCACTCAGTCTGTAGCTGTGCTTGGGATCGCCCCAAGAAGCCCTTTGCACTGGGCCTTGTTGAACTTCATACAGTTCGCACGGGTCCACCTCTCCAGCCTGTCAAGGTCCCTCTGGATGGCATCCCTTCCCTCCAGTGTGTCGACTGCACCACACAGCTTGGTGTCGTCAGCAAACTTGCTGAGGATGCACTCACTCCTGCTGTCCATGTTGCCAACAAAGCTGTTAAACAGCATCAGTTCCGACACAGACTCCCAAGGAACGCCGCTCATCACTGGTCTCCATTTGGACATCGAGCCATCAACCACAACTCTTTCAGTGCGATTGTTCAGCCAATTTCTTATCCACCAAGTGGTCCATCCATCAAATCCATGTCTCTCTAATTTAGAGACAAGGATGTTGTGTCCGACAGTGTCAAATGCTTTGCATAAGTCCAGGTAGATGATATGAGTTGCTCTTCCCTTATCCACCAACACTGTAACTCCATCGTAGAAAGCCACCAAATTTCTCAGGCATGATTTGCCCTTAGTGAAGCCATGTTGGCTGTCACTGATTTTTTTGTCTGTCCTTATTTTCCATGTGCCTGAGTACAGTTTCCAGCAGGATTTACTCCATGATCTTGCCAGGCACGGAGGTGAGACTGACCGGCCTGTAGATCCCTAGGTCTTCCTTTTTTTTTTTTTTTAAATGGAAGTTATGTTTCTCCTTTTCCAGTCAGTGGGAACTTTACCAGAATTTCATGACTTCTCAAATATGATGGAGAGTGGCTTCGAAACTTCATCCACCGGGGCCCTCAGCACCTGCAGATGTATCTCATCAGGTCCCATGGACTTCTGCACCTTCAGGTTCCTTAGATGGTCTCAAACCTGATCTTCTCCTACAGGGGATGGTTCTTCATTCTCCCAGTCCCTGCCTTTGCCTTCTGCGACTTGGGCAGTGTGGCTAGAGCACTTGCTGGTGAAGACTGAGGCAAAAAAGTTGTTGAGCACCTCAGCTTTCTCCATATCCCAGGTAACCAGGTTTTCCATTTTCTTCTGGAGAGGGCCCATATTTCCCCCAGTCTTCCTTTTATCACTAACATACCTACAGAAGCTTTTCTTGTTGCCCTTGACATCCCTTGCCAGATTTAATTCTATCAGGGCTTCAGCTTTCCTAACTTGATCCCTGGCTGCTCGGATAATTTCTCTGTATTCTTCTCAAGCTACCTGCCCTTGCTTCCACCTCCGGTAGGCTTCCTTTTTTGTGTTTGATTTTGTCCAAGAGCTCATAGTTCATCCATGCAGGCGCCTCAGTGTTTTTTCTGACTTCCTCTTTGTTGGGATGCATCACTCCTGAGCTTGGAGGAGGTGATCCTTGAATACTAACCAGCTTTCTTGGGCCCCTCTTCCCTCTCAGGGC